GACAAAGCATAAAAGTATAAAAAAGGAAGCAGATTATGTGGAGAGACGCAAAAAAATGTGCATCGGAGGTGCATGGCGGAAGCAACAAGAAGAAGACCGCTCAAACTCATGACTGCACTGCCGCCCAAGTAGCGGCAATTCACACAGGATTTATCCAAAACAAAAAAAGATTTCCCCTTCTTCTTACACAAACCCCATCACACAAAATAATTATAAATAAAAAAGAAATCGTCCATTACTGTTCCACACAAATTTAAAAAAGCAACCAAATACCATCTTGCTCCAGAGATTGTCTGCATATTTTTCCTGCAAAATAAAATTAAAAAGATATTTAAATGCCTTTCAACCGTCCGACCCTCCGTGTGTCCGCACATCGTTTATATTTCATGGGGTCATCTGCGTGTTGCTGCTCCCCTCAGCCCTTTCATCGGCGTGTGAGTGCGGCCCGCAGAGCACAGTCACTCGTGTGTGTGGGGACTGAGAGAAGCACGCAGAAATGACGGCAGTCGCGTCTCTCCATCGGGAGAGTGAGCGCAGCAAAAGAAAAAATCATCAGGAGGAAAAGAAATGCTCATGAGGCCGACACCGAAGAGACTGCCGGCGCAAAAAAAAAAAAAAAAAACACGGCGGCAGGGTGTGGCTGTGTGTGTGGCGCTGCGGGTGTCTGCCCACCCTGGCCGCAAAAACAAAACAAGAGGGAAAGAAATGTGTGCTCCGCCCCACAGGCCCTCGTCGCACGCCCACACGTCACGGCTCCCTCAGCGCGCCGTTCGTCGCGGCCCCTCCTCATGCGTGCAGCAGGCGAGGCGCACAGGGCCGTCGTCATGAGCGTGTCGGTGGGTGTGCGAGTGGAGCAGTTGGGCGGGAAACACACGGCACCCCTCACAGGAAGAGTGCAGCAAGAAACAATTAAAAGAAGGAAGAGTAAAAGAAGCAAAAAAACGTCCATAGTGATTGCCCACAAAAGCAAAAAAGAGGAATGGGGAGAGTGAGAAATAAAAACAAAACAACAACAACAACACACACAAAAAAAGCAAACAAAAAACTAAATTAAAGTACAAAAAAAAAAAAAGTAAAGGTATGAGATATATTCGTTCCTATGGGAAGTAATTCTGTGCTGGGGAGGTCGCAAGTGTTCCACGCGGCAGCCAGTCACTCCTCAAAGAGTCACAAACCCCCACAATCCCAACAGAAGCAGCAGCGGCAGCAGCCCGCTTCTGTAAACATTGCCAGCATCACCCGTTGCTCCTCCAACGGCATGGGAGCTCGAAGCTGCCGGCACTTTCTGTGTGGTGACAGGCTTCCCCTCCGCTGTTATTTGCTGTGCTTCACTTTCTTTTCGATGCCGTCGCAAGGCCGCTTGTTCTTCTGGAGCCTCAGAAGGTTTCGTTGCAGGGAGAGCCACAATTTGTTCCCCTTCCACGGATGGATAATTGGCTTCCACTGATTGTTGATCTTCCGATGGTGAATCGGCATCTTCTTCCACATCGGCATTCTCACCTGAAAATGTCAACGGGCGGTTGTACAGCAGGACGTTTGTCACAGTCACAGACACACCTTCGTCACCCGCCGTGTTCTCTGCATTAACTCCATCCCCTCCAATGTAGAAGTGGGAGATCCTCGTCGAATCCGTACTTTCCAATTCACGTTGCGCGCTCTCACACACACGCTGACCATCGACGCACACGGAGCCCTGGATGCCGTTCTGTAGCACAATGGCCACTTGGTGTGTTGTATCTCTGGATCCCAAGTGCTTTTTAGCCTCTTGGTCTTTCCGTCACCGCACAGCACCCGCCACTTCTTTTCGCTGTCGTACGACAACTCCATAATTTTTTTTTCACCTCCGTCAAGACGCACACCCATCAAAGGAATGGGATTGTCTTCTTTCGGCAACTCGTGGATGAACACCGTCGCCACAAGAGTGAAGTTGTGGTTCGCAAAGTGGTACAGCTGATTCTGCCCCTGACTGCCAACGGGCCACTCCGCCCACGCTCCCTGGAAAGTCACACCATTTTCCGCCGGTTCCGCCCCAACATTCTCATTTACTGTGGCGTTCACCCCGAGGTACTCGTCCCTCCATGTGTTACCAGAGAAGTTGCCGGACAAAAAGCCAACCAGCCCATCCGTGCTCGTACCACCGCTGCAGGCATTGGCAGTTGAGAAATCCTCCGTAGCATGTGAAAAAGGACACAGCTTGGAGACACGGTCGTCCACTTCCTTCCAGGTCGCCAGCACATCCTTCACGCTCTTCAGCTGCTCAGTCAGAAGCACAGAGACCATACCGAGTGATGGTTTTTCCCCCTCGCTCTTCTTCTTCTCGTACAGTGCAATCAACTCCTCCTTCTTATCTTTATTATTATCTCCACTTTTGTACAGCACGGAGCTGGCGGCAACGTCATCATCATCCTCGGTACCGGCCCAATATCAACAATGTGCGTGTTGTCCGTCAGCCAAAGATGGAGTACACCTTTTTCATTTTTCTCTTTTTTGGAATACACCGGCAGAGTAACGAGCATCACGTTTCTCTTGCCATCTCCATCACCAAGAGTCGCTGTGATGGACCCGCTCCTAACGGGTTTCACTTTTTTATCCTGTTCGTTGCCCCACACGCGCGAGAGTGTCCCGAGTGCCTCCGTCCACGAATCCCCCTTGTCACCGGACTCGTACACCCTGCGGCGGCCATCATCACACGCAGTCATCATCATGAGTTTTCCCTCCTTCCGCTCCACGACGGAGGGATCACTGCAGCCATCATCAGACATCCCGTTTGACAGCCTCCAACTCGCAATGTCCGAGGAGTATATGATCAGCGAAACGGGCTTTCCACCCTCTTCTGTGTCGGCCTCCTCCTTCTTTTTGGTTCCTTCCAATGGGAACACAAGCGTACCGTCATCCATCTTAACACCCGATCCACCGCCACTGGTCAGCCGCTTCAAGATACTGTGTTGGTTGCCTTTATAAGTCCACGGAATAGCGTAAGTATTGTTCCAATAAATTCTTTTACCTTTTTGATTCTCATCACTGACGTGCCCTTTCACCAGCATGAGTCCCCAGTCAACTGCCTGATCATTTTCGGCATATGCCCAACTATATTTTCCAGCAAGCATGTAAATATCACTTCCCTTCACAACTGTTGTTGGTCGGCTCACATGTACTTTAGTCTTGCTTTGGGAAACAGCCTGACCCGCTATAAGGCAGCCGCATTTCTCTTCGCTACCGGCAGGACATGTCCCTCCCTCAAATATAGATCCCTCCGGTACTTGTGTCTTCAAGTTACTCTTATCCAAGTCCTCTTTTGGCTTATCATCAGTCAATGTCAACAACCCCGAGGCAATCCCAGTAAAACCGCCTTCTTTTTTCGTGCACTGCGCCTCGGCAACGGCAAACACACCATCATTCATCTCAAAAAGACTGGGAACACGTAGCAAACTCACTGTTTCATCACCTGTTGTATCTCTCCAAGCAAAAGGTGACTTCGGTGGAGATTGCTGACCTGGCGCTAGCCCATCAGCTTCCGCAGCCAAACCAGTGCTACAGCACATCATCACGATGAGGAGCAGAACCGCAGAAGTAAACAAACGCCGGGACATGTTGGGCCTCTGCGGCTCACTCTCTCTTCCTTCACTCCTCCTTCCGCTGGATCCGGTCACGCGGCGACGGTTGTGTGTGCGGGGTGCCTTCACTGCAGCAACACGTGAGAGCATATTAATATGTGTTTGTGGGCGGTGTGTGTGCTGTTGTTCCTTTCAGAGCCTTCGAATTTCACAGTAGCGATTAGCGCTTGTTTTTCTTCTTCGTGTGTAATTGAGAAAGGAAAGATATAAAGGGAAAAAATACCAATACAAAAAGTACAACAGTAAGCACCGCCACCCACAGTGAGTGGCACCATCATCCCCGCCGCAGTCACTCCCAACAACAACAACTCACGCACACAGACACACGGAACGAGAAGGAAGAACAGTGCACCGGGAACACACAGCGACTGCCACCAGCAGCAGCATAAGTAACGGCGGGTGTGTCACTCGTCACGCGTCAGCACACACCTAGCAACACCAACACACACGAAACAACAGGCGGGATGCAAAAGAACACGACAGTCCTTTGAAAGGCCCACGCGCTTTCACCAGTCGTTTTACTGTTGTCTCCACCAGCGCACCCGCACCTCAACCGCCACAGGCGCGCATCACCTCGCACAGCCAAACAATCCTTCGGCCGACAGACCCACAGCGGGAGAGACACGTCAGCACTTGCAGCTGCTGATCGGGAATCAATCTGCAGTTGTCCCAGGCATCCCCAATGCCACACCACTCACTGCCTGCACGCCACCAGTATCACACCCCCAGCACATCAACAAGACACATCGCGGTCTCCCGTCCTCCGTCCTCGCAAGGACCGCAGCAGCCAAATTCGCGTGCGTGCGTTCTCAGCTTTCCAGCAGCTCCACTGCTTCTGAGACATGGCATGTGTACGTGTGTGTATCTGCCTGTGTGTTTGTCAGCGCCTATACTTGCAGAGCAGCTGTACGGCACAAGGGTTCACAGAAAAAAACGACAAAGAGATACGGATAGCACACAAATTACTCATATCATCACACACAAACACGCATAACGCGGAATGAGTGCTCTCAACCACAAAACACAAGTAAAACAATAAAAGAAAAAGCCGAAGCGTGGGACGACCAGCACACACTCTCATTGCTCCCGTAAAGCAAAACACACACACAGGGAGAGAGAGAGAGGTCGCCCACTCAATGCAATGGAAACAAAACAAAAACAGTTACGGTGCTCCGCCCATGCAGCCAGGCAGGACGGCAGCGGTGCGTGTGGTGCAAAAGAGAGCACCAACGGGCCTGCATGGGTGTGCATGCATATATACAATGGGCACATTATGTGTGTGCTTCGTGGGGTGAGGTGAGGGCGAGAGTCCATGCAAGGGGACACACACAGGGAGTGAAGGACGAGTGTGTGTGCGGGCGGTGCACGGCTCTCTCTCCATCACTCTCACGCGGCCACCACCGCAGCAGCAGCCGCACACGCAACAAAAAGAAGAAGCGAAAGAGGTGAGGTGTTGTGGGAGACCGCGGTGCTGCCGTCACTGTCGCCAGGCGTCGCCGTCGTGGTTTTTATTACTGTGGCTTCGACTGGTGTTTCCTTCGGATTGGCTTCTTTATTTTCATTTTGTTTTTCTTCTTGTGTCACTGCACCATCAGCTGCTGGATCTTTGTCGCCAGTTGTTTGAGTGCTTTGGGGTTTTGTTTTATTCGATGCTTCCTCCACACGAGAAGATAAAATTGGCTCTTCCTGACCGCCTGCCAAAATCCCCTTTGTAGTGCTGGTATCATCTTTTTCTTCTTCCTCTCCCTCCTCCTCCTTGCCATCATCCAATTCCACTTCCTCCTCCACTTCCTCTCCCTCTTCCTTTTTCTCCTCCACTTCCTCTCCCTCTTCCTCTTCATCTTCCTCTTCCTCTTCATCTTCCTCTTCCTCTTCATCTTCCTCTTCCTCTTCATCTTCTTCCTTCTCCTCATCCTTCAATTCCTCATCATTATCAGCTTCACCTTCTTTTTTCGTCGTGTTCTTGTTGTTTTCCGTCGTTGCATTTGCCACTTCCGATGCCTTTGCTGCGGGTTGTAGTGCCGGTGATGGGTTCGATGCCGATTCCTCTTCCGATCCCGATACAGGCACCGATTCTGCTGATTGCGACGCTGCCGGTTGACCTAACCGGTCAACTTCTCCAACGCCATCAATTGTGGTGTTTTCACCTTTACGTTTATTGTCTTCGGACTCAATAAGCTGAGCTTCTGGAGCTGCTTCAGAACATCCACCACCGCAGACACCGCACCACAGCACACAGAGGGCACATAGCAACAGCAGGCGGCCAGTCACCATCATCATCACGGCTGCACACACAGTCTAGAGAGGGGCAAAGAGAGGAGGATGAGAAGAACACACAGACGCATCAGCAGCGGCAGCATAGAGAAGAATGGGTGGCGTTTAAATGAGAGTTGTTGTAATGAGCATGGGAGACGCGTCCACGCAGGAATAACAAGCAGCAATAAAGTAAAGCAGAAAAAAAAAAAAAAAAACTGCACCGAATGACTCCAGTGCGCATGCACCAGCACAAAGAAAATGCGTCCACACAAACAGTTGTATGCGTGTCGTGCATATGAGTGTGTCTGGGGTGCGTTCAACGTGACGGATACAGGGAGCAGCAACACGGAGCACACAGCAGGGCAGCAGAAGCAAATGAAGCAAAACACACAATCATTATTTTCTATTATTTGGTTACATCGGACCACAGTGGACGCACACAAATCCACGCGGTTCAGTGCTGGCACGCACAGCCCGCACACACCTCTTCAGCCCAGAGTGGTGTACGCCAGCGCGGATGCGGCAAGCAGCAGCGGGGCACACACCCACGCAGAGCTGCTGAGGCTGCCGTCGATTTCGCGAAGACGTGACGGTGCGCGGGTGGCCGTAGTGGTTGGCGCCTCTGCAGTCGCAGTACTTGGTGCCTCTGGTGCAGCGGTGGTCTTCGTGGTCGTCGTCGTGGTCGCAGTTGGTGCATATGTTTTCTTATTTTGTTCATTTGACATATTGGCCTTATCAATATCTGTATCTTCAGTAGTGGGTTTCCCACCATCTTGATCCTGTGTATTATTGGAAGTATTTTGTGACTGTGGTGTTTCGGTTACTGTACTCGTTGTATGTGACGCAAGAGCCTCCATTTTTTGTGAATCTTCCGTGTCTCTCCCTTCTTCGTTTTTCTCTGGTGGAGAAGGAATTATACTTAGCGATTCCGTCAAATGATCTTGTCCTTCTGGCTTAGAATTTGGTGAACCGGGATCACTTCCAGATTTACCAGCTGTTTCTTCACTTGTTTTCACGCAAACGGACGGGCAGCAGCACAGGGCGAGCACCAACAGGGCGCACAGCAGACGGCACGTCATCATCGTGAGTGTGGTCGTTCACTGGTGTGGAGCTGATCTGCACAGTGAGGGACATGGAGAGCAACAGGGGAGACGAGAGGTGCGGCAGACACACACAGAGGGCACGCCACATGAGGAGAGAGCAGCAGCCAGGCATGCACCGTACGCCGCACACCACGCACGACACACACTCCAATCCACGGCAACAGGCACACACAGATGGAAGAGGGAGAAGCAAACAGAAGCGGCACACAAGGCTCCACCGCATGCACATACGGCGAGAGCGGTCCATCGTGTCGGCACCCCTCACGGAGGGTGCACACACACACAAGAGGAGGCGCAGCCAATATTTATTTTTTTTTTTTTTTTTTTCTTCTCTTACCAGTCGTAGTAACTACACCTCAATTGTGCAGCTCTGGTAAGCGTACGAAGGAATTCAGTAGCAAGGATAACCTTACTCCGCGGGCAGCCATTATAGAATGGCTCCAACATCTGCCCTTCCGGCCCGTAAAACTAAGTAACAACTACTCATCGGGTTTGAAGCATGAACAGCAGGCGCTTAGCTTCCTCTCTAGCAAAGAGTACTAGACCCTGGCACCACGTTGAGGTGGCCGGCTGAGCCAGGGGCCAATATTTATTTTTTTTTTTTTTTTTTTTTTTTTTTTTTCTTCTCTTACCAGTCGTAGTAACTACACCTCAAATGTGCAGCTCTGGTAAGCGTACGAAGGAATTCAGTAGCAAGGATAACCTTACTCCGCGGGCAGCCATTATAGAATGGCTCCAACATCTGCCCTTCCGGCCCGTAAAACTAAGTAACAACTACTCATCGGGTTTGAAGCATGAACAGCAGGCGCTTAGCTTCCTCTCTAGCAAAGAGTACTAGACCCTGGCACCACGTTGAGGTGGCCGGCTGAGCCAGGGGCCAATATTTATCACAAAGCAACTTGTTATCTTGTTTTGGTTGCACTCTTTTACAAATAACGAGTGAGGAGCGCAAGGGCCGTCAGCAATAAAGTGGTAAGTATTCCGTCGCAAACGGAACGTTATGCAGGCTGGGGCGCTCCCAAACAGTCGCACGCCTTATTCCCAACGACGGGGCATTACCACAGTGGATGAGGCAGAATCTACCGTGGTCCGTCGGGGATCGGCAGCACGTGGCGTCTGTGATGCGGCGGTGGCGGAAGGGCGTGGTCCACCTCGAATGCCCGCGCTTGTGCTTCCTGCGTGTTTTGTCTGCTGGTGTGCTTGGCGACTTCGATGGTGACCTGCGCGCGAGGCGCCTGTTAAGAAGACGGTGAAACAATCGCGGCATCTGCATGTGAGGCCTCTCAAACTATCGGAACGCCAGGCCGAGCACGTCGGCATGTGCCGTCATATTGTGGACGGACGAGCGCACTCTGCCACAGATTGGGCAGGACGACTTCAATCCGCCGCTCGCTGGTCGGAAAGGGGTTGCGGCGCTCACGTCGGGAAGAGGTTCCGGCGGAAGCAGTGGCGGGCCGGTCACCGCAGTGAAGGGACGGCGCCACCGACACAGGGTCAATTGTGATATGCAGGGCGTGCAGGCCTGTCGAAGAGCGGGCAGGAGTCGCATCGCACCTGCGCGCGGTGCCGCCACTCGGAACACGATGTCCGGGTTGATACCAGAAATAGAGTCCTCGCCACACCGTCAAGCGCCTCTCATGCGGTGCGTGCGCCTTCCTTTTCCTCATGGACTTTCTTTCAGTCCCGCCGCTTCACTGCAGTGAGGAAGCCCACGTGCCAGGCATTGACGCAGTCCTGCGGGAGGGATCGTGCCATGACGGCGTCAGCGTCCGCTGTCACGTTGCGTGGGATTCCGCAGTGTCATGGGAAAAATGTGGAGCCAACTGCGCGACCTCGATCCGCCAGTGAAAGCGGTACGGTGCAAATCTCCTCGGTGACGTCGTCGCACACCGCCAGCGAGCCAAGGCGGAGTGACTCCATCGCCGAGACGGAGTCTGTGGCGACAGGAACTCGTGTGGGCGATTGGGATGCTGCTGCCAGGCGGGGAACTGAAAACTGTCTGAGGCCATGCTCAGCGGCAGGACACTCCGCTCGGCAGGTGCATGCAAGGCTGCCGGCAGCTGCGCGGTGAGGCCCCACAGGGAGCTCTCCGGGGAGTCAAGTGGCAGCGCAGCGGATCCACACGCACGCTCAGCGAGAGACGACAAGCCGTCCACCGCCAACACAGTTGCCAGCGACTAACAAGACGTTGAGCATGAATAGGACACGTATGCCGCGCTGCCGTGGGCACGGACAGCGACCCCGATCCACTCAGCAACAGCGATCTAATGCCTCTGGATGGTGCAACAGCCACGCCGGAACACAGCACAGCCCTAGCAAATGCTGAACGAGTGATAACGTGTCGGGCGGCGGTGATGCCGCACAGGATTATTTGCGCACAACGTCTGGGAAACCAGAGATCCCATCGGAGCACAACGCAGCATCACTTGTGAGCAACGGTTTTTGTGAGCACGAACATTTCACGGATTTGTTGGCCATGGCTGAAATTGGTGACATCACCGTGCATGGGTGTGTGTCTCGGGTGTTATTGCTTCTGCTTCTGGGACTGTGAGGCACTGCGGCACTCTGCTGAAGTGTGAGGGAGGGTGGAACTGCGGCTTTTCGTGTAACAATAACTGTGCAGATTGCCAGCATTAACCACTGAGTTTTGTCAATAATTTAAGTCTTTTTATTTTCTTTTATTTATTTATTTTTGCTGCTTTTGTCCTATTGGAATAATCAGCATCCCTGTGTTTTTCTGCCAATGGTCGGTTGCTGTACTTTGTCATGAGTGACGTGTTTCTCCCTCTTTTGTTTCCTTCTCTTGCTCACACGCGGTGCCGGCCCTGCGGCTGTGCGTCCCACGGACTGCACAAGAGGAGGATTGGAGGAACAGGCCGGATGCCGCATGAAACGTGAGGAATGTTGTGTGGGCTCACGGAACAGTACGATCTTTTTTTGCTTTATTCAGTCCATGCATTAAGTATACACAAACCAGTGGTCGTTTACATTTTGCTGATTGGTACATTAAAATAAAAGTCGTGCCTGATCGTTTTTTTATTACTTTTTGGGAGTCATGCCGGACTTTCAAATCTGTTTTTGTTCTTTTTCACTGCCTTTTTAACTTCTGGTTTGCAGGGCGGTGTGTGAGTTCTGCAATTGTACAGATTCCAACTGCCTCATAGTGTGTGCTGCTCCTGCCATTTGTCACTGTACGTGGCGTAGCAGCCTTGTCTCCCTTTTTGCTTTTACTCTGCGTTGGCGGGGAGTTAGTTTTTTCTGAAGGCTACACGCAAGTGACAGGAGTGATGGCGATGATGATGACTGGCCGTGTGCTGCTGGTGTGTGCCCTCTGCGTGCTGTGGTGCGGTGCCGGCGGCAGATGTGACGGGGGAGAAACGGCAGGCTCTGGGAGTGGTGGTGGGCCTCCGCCGGAATCAAAAGAAATTGAAACGTCTCCACAAGTCAAGCAAGAATTAAAAGATGAAGCACGAAGTGTTAAAGGGAAAAAACCTCCCACATCTTCAGAGGATGAAGTTGAAGAAGATGAAAAAGAAGATAATGATGATGATGATGATGATGAACCAGAAGAAGAAAAAGAGAAAAGTAAAGAAAAAGAAGATGCGCAACAAACCAGAAAATCCAAAAGTTCATCGAAAGAGGTAGCTCCACTAACGATACCAAAAGCATCTGGTCTCAGTGAAGCCGGTGGTGGCAGTCCTTCTGGTGTTGATGGTGTTGGCTCGAGTGAAAGTTCTGGCGGAAGTGAGGATTTGAATTTGGAGGTTTCTGCTCCTGTCGTGAACTTTCCGCCTCTCCTTCCCAATGCTGCCGCTGGAGGTTTGCAGAATACCGACGGTGCTTTATCGTCTCAGAAGAACAATTTCTCAGAAACAGGTGTGCATTCAGGAACGACGCCTCCAGCACCCTCACTGCCCAAATCACAGGCACCCGCGATAACAAAACCAGAAGCAGAAGAGCAGTCCTCCACTGAGCAGGACACAGAAGATAGTCCAGACACAGAGGAGGTCACAACTGGAAAAGAGAACGTGCAGAATACTGTGGAGACGGGAATTCCTTCCAGGTCTTCGTCTGCCGCCAGCAAACCACCCGTACAACTAACAACGCCAATATTAACACAATCACCGGCAGTGGCATTACCAGAACGATCAGCACTGGCACCATCAGAAAAAAAATCAACAGCACCGAGTTTTTCAGCAGGAGAAGGAAGCCGTAGGGCAACAAACGTCGCACAGAACTCAAAGGAAGAAAAGAATGAAAAATTGCCGTCAGAAAACGAAACGGAGTCCAAAGCAGTGGAACAGCCTTCAGGGGATGATTTGGCAGAGCAAGACAGTCCAGCGCGAACAACAGCGTCACCCATCCCCGCAAGTGGCAGTGCCGAAGCCCAGAGAAATGCGGATGCGGACAATAGCAATGCTCAAGCACTTAAATACGAAGGAACAAACAAGAACTCCGAAACTGGCTATACAAACCTTGCTTCTACAGCCGGTGATGCAGCAACACAAACAGAAAAAGCACTTGCCGACGCCAAGGCAAATGATACGGTGACGCCTGGCGACGGTGACGGCAGCACCGCGGTCTCGCACACCACCTCCCCTCTTTTGCTTCTTCTTTTTGTTACGTGTGCGGCTGCTGCTGTGGTGGTGGCCGCGTGAGAGTGAGTGAGAGAGAGCCGTGCACCGCCCGCACACACACTCGTCCTTCACTCCCTGTGTGTGTGTCCCCTTGCATGGACTCTCGCCCTCACCTCACCCCACGAGGCACACACATAATGTGCCCATTGTATATATGCATGCACACCCATGCATGCCCGTTGGTGCTCTCTTTTGCACCACACGCACCGCTGCCGTCCTGCCTGGCTGCATGGGCGGAGCACCGTAACTGTTTCTGTTTTGTTTTTATTGCATTGAGTGGGCGACCTCTCTCTCTCTCCCTGTGTGTGTGTTTTGCTTTACGGGAGCAATGAGAGTGTGTGCGCTGGTCGTCCCACTCCTCGGCTTTTTGTTTTTTTTTCACTTTTTGTTTTAATTGTGTTGTGGTTGAGTGCACCCATTACCTTTTTTTTGTGGATTATTGGCTTGCTTTGACTGCGGACACTTGAATTTTTTTATTTATTTTTCTATTGTTTTTGTTTTTGTTGAGGAATTGCTAGCCACTTGTATTCTTGTAAAGCCATTAAGATTGTCTTTGACTTATGGTGTGTGTCAGTTGATCCACGTTAACCCCCACGGTCTGCATCGCTACTGGTGCTGCTATTGATGATCTGTGCGATGTGGTTTGCTAGCGGATGTCTTGCTTTCACCCCGAAGTATTCATTATTTCGTGACGATGTGTTCTGCTCCGACGGTGGGGAGAATGCATCTCAGGGCGCTGGACGCGTTGCAGGTGTGCAGCGGTGTCTGGAAGGGCCCATGGGTGCCCATAGGCATCAAGGCATCAACAACAGACCCGTGTGACAGCAGGAGGCACTGCGTCTTCTCCTGGTCTCACGCAATGAATTCATTGAATGACAATCGCCACTGTGAGGATGGTGTTCTATCCTCTGTGTACGGTAATATCGTTGCCGAGGAGACTGTCCCTGCTGCTGCCAACCTGCATGCGGATTCTCTGCTCGTCCAGCCACTGGAGGGTCCGCTGACTGTGCCCCAATTTGCCACGGGCAGCGTTTGCAGTCGGTTCACGGTGACTGATGGGCATTGTTCCACTGGTGTTGCCAATTCCGACATGACAAAGTGCGTGGTTGCTGCGCTTGGTGGTGTGTGGGCACTGCCGTGCGTCACGCTGGAGGATGGCCGTCCCGTCGCTGACGCCATGAACTTTGCCTGTTAGTTTTATTTCACTGACGCATCGCCACCCGCATCGCCGCGCACTTGTTGGCCCATTCTCTCGGGTTCACCTACCCGCACATGGCACGCCGCAGCATGGTGAGGAATGCTATTGGTGTGCGTGTCAGGGCGCTGTCGGTGGTGGTGGACTCGACGAATGCCGCGATGTCTGCAAGGGAGCACCAAGACTGCGACGACATTGATGGCGTGAAGCTGCAGGATGACGATGGGGACGGGAGGACGCTGGAGTCGCACTTATCGCAGCGCCACGCGAGGGATGAGCGTATGGCACCGATTGGGGGCGCCGGCTACTGCACGGAGCTGACGCTGGCCGAATCGGCTTACCTGGTCTGCTTGAGGGTGAACTGGTAGATGGCGGAACCGACGCGTTGCTGCAGCAAGTCGGGATGTAGGCTGCTGCTGCTGCAGAGGAAGCGCTCCGCACTGAACATGAGTGAATACCCCCACGTGCTTTGCGACGTGGGTGTCCCTGTCAAACGCTGCGCGTCGGATCGTTATTCCCGCGGTTGGTATTTGGGGAGTATCCATGAAGCTCAGCCAAACGCCCGATGGACAGTTGCCCCATCACTGATTCCGCACTGGATGTGAGGGATATTGAGGTGTTATTTGGAGGGGAGAATATTTGTCTGCGATGCCCGGGGATGAGCCCTCTTCGTGGTGTCTGGACACGCTTCCCAACAACACGACGGATGCGAGGGACCCGGAGGAGACATATTTCAGTGCTGCCTTGCATGTGGCATTGAGGTGCCTCGGCATGCAGTTGCATCTGGAAGTGACTGAAAAGGGTAACGTCCGTTGTGTCCCATGCACGGACGGGGCGACGATTGCTTGGGCCACTCCACCCTACGATGGGGGAAGCGTTGCTTGCCGTGACCACGCGCAGGTGTGCACGATATCTGCCAACAGCGGTAGCCCACTTCCAGTGGTTTCGTGGGACGGCGAGGAGAGAGCATGTGGAGCAGGACGGTTTCACCGGCATCTACTGAACAAGGATTGCCAGGGGGCATCCGTCCCCGTTGCGGAGAGCATTGGGACCGGCCGCGGCACACCACCGAAGGATGTAGACACGGCTGCACCCCAGAAGCATCCGTTGACAGAGGAGAAGGAAGTCGCCCCAGATGCCACGACGGCAACGGTGTGATCTTGCCCAGCGACACCGCGGGTGCGCCGCAGGAGGCGGAGAAGAAGAGCGATGTTCCGGACAACGACGATGTGGCCGCCG